AGCGCCCGCGCGCCCCCTACTGGCCGGGCGGACCGCTGTTCCCGGCCGAGCTCTGGGTCTGTTTACTGGGCGGAACTTGAGGAAGTTGCAATGTCATCATTTGGGATGATTTCCAAACGCTCCCGAGCCGGGCATGGAACTGGGCAAAGCGGAAGGGGCACCGGCTGGACAGTAAACACACCGAGGTTGGCCTTTGTGCCGCGCCTGGTGGCTTCCCCTGCTCACCTTCCACGGGCAGTGCCCTGGCCCCTTTCACCACAATCACCCTCCGCCTGCGCCTTCGCCACCTACACACACTCACACGCTTGGAAATCATGTCAAATTAAATTTACTAACGTGAGTTTTGCCCACATTTACTCATCAAAGCCAAGTATAATCCCCAATGGAAGCTAGCGTGCTCTCCCTGCATCCTCATTCAAGATTCAAAAACCGTCCTCTGAGGCCAGGAATACAGATGAGGAAAGAGTCACCAAGAAGATAGGTAAAAAAATAAAAATACAAAAAGGTAAGTAGCACCCAATTTAACCCAGCACAGCGAGCATCAGAAACCAGCCCAACTCCAGCAGCCGCCTCAGGGCCCGTGCCGGCCATGACAGGCCAGCGACAGCAGAGGCCGCCAGGACGCCAGGTGTGATGGGGCAGGAGCCTGGTGGTGACAGCGAGGCCGAGCAGTCTGCACAGGAAAAGCGCCTCCGTCCACAGGCACCTGCTCCTTCCTTTATGAGTCAGTATGAAAGGAAGAGTCCAGATTGTTAATAGCAACTTTATTCTCACTGGTGAAAAAAAATTGTGATAACGGTCTGATGCATTTCCCCCTAAATTGACATTGAAGGTTATACATGAATCATATAGATCACAAATTTTCTATTTTATACTATTTAGAACAAAATTATTTTGATAAATATGTCAAGAGGACGACATAGGTTCTTAATGGATGACTGAGTCCAAATATGCAAAATATAGCTTCTGGTTTTGACCATGGTGCTTTAGAGCCTCAAACATGCATTAATAAATTCTAGTTTTAGGGAAAATATTATACAGGGCCTCATCTTGCACTGAGGGAGGAGCCCCAGCTGAATTTCACATACAATATTCCTTTCGCCTAAATTAACCTCACATTGGACTAGCGAACAAAGAGACAGACACTTCTGGGTTAGTACTCCCAGCCAGGAGGAAATTACACAACCAACATGGAACAGGACAGGAAGAGAGGAAGGAGAGCTTCATTAGTAGCCGCGAGAAGTGGTTTTTAAATACTTTTGTTTTGTTTTTTTACAAATCACGATAATTTTAAATAGCAAATCAATCATGCCACTTTGGGTGATCAGTCGACCTGAACACTTATGAAGTGAATAACTTTATTAAGGTCTTGAAGGTGAGTGTCCGGAGGTGCTGGGTCACACACATCACAGGTAAGAGACGGGAAGCCTACCTCAGCATTTCTGAAGGCACAATCTATGGGAGGGAGGCCTACGGACTACATCCTCTGCATGGGGAGGAGCAGGGCCTGCCCCCTTCACAGGACGAGGCCTTCGTAAATGGGCCCCTCGGACTCCGGGGACTCCCGCCTCAGGCGCAGGTGCTCCAGCGTGTTGTGGAAATGCTTGTTAATCTGCTCCGTCTCTTCACTGGACTCGAGATTGGGGAGGTCTTCTCGGATCTTCTGGATAAGCTGGTTCAGAACCTGAATTGTGACCTAAAAACAATGTGCACAGCTCACAATCCAGCACACACCAGAGGGTCAAAGGTAATTTAATAACAACATTTTGAGGAGCTCCTGTTACTCTCACCAATTACCAGAGTAATTATGATGCCCTAACCAGTTTGCTCAGTGGGTAGAGCGTCGGCCTGCGGACTGAAGGGTCCCAGGCTCGATTCCGGTCAAGGGCATGTACCTTGGTTGCGGGCACATCCCCAGTGGGGGGTGTGCAGGAGGCAGCTGATCGATGTTTCTCTCTCATCCCTCTCCCTTCCTCTCTGTAAAAAAATCAATAAGATATATTTTTTTTTTAAAGAAAGAAAAAGAGAGATGAGAACAGGGTTCCTGGTTTAAGCTACAACTAACTATTGGCTAGTCATAAAAAAAGGGGGGTATTAAAAAATACAGAGCGTCATGAACCAGTAAGGGAACAACAGCAAACTAGGATTTAACCTACAAATCTTGACCAACGCTACTGCTGGGAGCAGAACATCATTCCTTCCTCAGGAATCATTCTAAACGTGCACGTGACGACACGTCAGCCTCCTGTGTGAGTATTTCGTGCTTTAGACGTTCAGTGGCTGTTTCTACAAAACATCCCTAAGCAAACGAGATGCGTGCACACGGACAGAGCGGGGTTTTGGAGACGCAGAGACGCAGTAGGGACCTCTCCCAGCCCTGAGCCTTGTAAACAAAGAAGACGGTGTCAGGATGACAAACTCCATACGCATCAACCCGGAGAGCAGGAAGGGAAACCGAGGTCGCTCACCGCATCATTCTCCTTCTCGTAAAAGTAGATGTATCGGTTGAGAATCTCTATAAAGAGTTGCACTTGCAGCGAGGGGTCCATGCACTGGTTTGCTATTTTCAGAGCTTTCTTCAGGCATTCCATGACCCTCTTGCCTCCATGCAGCTGGAATGAAGGGGGGGGGGGGCGTTTAAAGAGATCAATGGATCACCCATGTCCAGCCACACAGGGAGATGAACACGACTCTACAGCGCCTCTCTCACGTTTAAAGGGACAAAAGGAATTTACATCTTCATTTTCTAAAGCACACAGCTACGTTTTAAAGCAAATAGGTTACTTGTTTTGTGTATTTATGTTTTATAGACAGCATACCTCGGAGATACTGTGGGCTAGGTTCCAGACCACTACAGTACTGCGGTAAAACAAGTCACTCAAGTTTCCTGGTTTCCTGTGCGTGCGTGAGCTACGTTCAGCCTCCACAGCAGTCCATTAACTGTGT